CCCCCCCCCCCTCTCTCTCTCTCTCCCTCCCCGATGGTCTAAAAGCGCAAATCGTGTCCTCTCCTTCCCCCTCGTCTCCCGGACCCGGACTGCCCGAGCCTGACCCCCTCCCCCGGGGCGACACCTTCTCGAGTAGCGGCCGCCCGAGGACAGGGGCGGGGAACGCGGCCCCGCCGCACCCACCCTTCTTTTCTTCTGCTCCTCGAGGGTATTGTTTCCACCACGGCGCACTGCGCCGCGCTACGCCACGCCAGAAGATTGGGGACAACCATGATAAATAAAGCCACAAGTTGGGGAGCGGACACTTGGGTCGAGAGCGAGGCAAACAGCGCGACCGAGCACAACAAGTGGACGTCCAGACGGATTATCCAGATGGCTGAGCACGCCACCTGTGTGCCACACTGTGTGCCACACCGTGTGCGGCAGTGCGGAGGATGTGCCTGGGGGCGAGTCTGCCCCAGCCCACCCATGGCCCGCTTACTCGCTACCCGCCAGCCCCGCCCGGCTCGTGGCATCCTCGGGCCAAGGGAAGTGGATCGCGCGGAAGCAGTCGGATTCAATGGTTGTGCTGACGTATGTATAGCCGGGTCATCGGAGAACTTCCAGCTTCCAGGAGAAACTCCCGGGAAATCGCTCTGGCACAAGCGGCGCTCGGGGAGTATGTCTCCCACGGAAGCTCTCCGATGACCCTGCTCATGGCCTAGCCCGTGACATATCAGAAATACGAATGCCCTTTGTGTCCGGCCAGGAGCGTTAACTTGTTGGGTTATGCGGCGGAGGGGTCCCACTCCCCTGGGTGGGGTCCAATCTCTAACTCACCTGCGCAGTTCACTACTGCTGCCGCTGACAGGGCAAGGCGGGGCTCAAACGCCTGATAATTGAGAGCCAACTTGGCTCCAGGCCGGCAGGGAGGCGGGCGCGGGCGGGCTGAGAGTAGGCCAGGGGCGGTCCAGGGTGAAGCCTGGGGCCTGGGGTCGGCTAGCGAGCACGTGTGTCTAGGATACCGGGGCGGACCTGGCGGGGAAGGCGGGGGCGGCAGCTTCCTGTCCACAGCCAGGGTCGTGGCGACAATCTGCGCCCCCAAATTAATGCAAAATTATTCGCAGTCTTGCCGGCGCTTGCTCCGCCCCCAGACCACGCGATCCACACAGCGCCACCCCAGCGGCACGACACCGATTTTTCGCTAGATTGAACTCGAACGCGAGGTGCGGCTGCGGCGTGCCTGGGCCTGGAGCGCCGTGGCGGGAGCGCCGTGGCGGGAGCGCCGTGGCGGGAGCGCCGTGGCGGGAGCGACGTGGCGGGAGCGCCGTGGCGGGAGTGACGTGGCGGGAGCACCGTGGCGGGAGTGACGTGGCGGGAGCACCGTGCCTGGAGCGCCGTGCCTGGGGCTCCGTGCTTGCTTGGAGCGCCGTGCTTGGAGCGCCGTGACTGGAGCGCCGTGGTGGGAGCGCCCCGCCGCGCGTGCTCCCCTCGGTGCTCTCATTACGCTTAGAGCTCGCGGCGTTAGGGGTCGCGTTACGCCCCCAGTAACAGGAGCCGCGGCGGCGAGCTATGCGCGGTTTTCACGACACGGCTGACTTGGCGACCACAAAGCCGCGCCAATCTGAGCAGGATTTTCATCTCTCTGTTTTCGCTTGGCAGCCTGCGCGAATTTAACGAGCCACCACGCTTCCGGGGAAATTAAAACAAACGGACACTTTTAGAAGGGGACAAAATGGGGAAGGGGTGCGGTGCGGAAGCTGTTAGCGAGCTCTGGCCATCGTTCTGGACCACTATGTGACCACTATGTGGCCACTATGTGGCAACTATGTGGCCACTATGTGACCACTATGTGACCATTATGTGGTCGCGCCGACGCCGATGACGCTATGATCGGCCTTGATGCTCTCCACGTCAGTCGCCGGTTCGACCTGTTTGCGCTTGGATCGCGTCCTTTCCTTCTGATACTTCGGGGATAAATAATTATCATCAAAATCCTGCGCTAGTTACGGTGACTGCACACTGCGCCTCCGAATGCCTCCGAATTCTGCTTTATAAAACAGGCACAAGCCCGGGCTTTGGCCATGGCCATGGCCATTCTCCATCGTTGATACGCTCCGTATTCCCACTACACCAATTGCACACATCGAAGGCTTTTTCTAGTACCATTTTCGATATTTCCAAATCGGAATGAAATGTGTCGCAGTTCAGGAAAGTTTTTTTTTCAACGTTATTCTTTCCTCTTACTTCAGTTGGCACGCTCCGCGACAGAAAGGCACAGCCGCTCCTCAGTCCCTGATGAGTTCTGTGTGCCCCAGAGAAAGGGGAAAAGAAAGACAAAACGGGCTGGCCGCTCGCCGCGAGATAAAAGAATAGAGAGCGGCCAGGCCGCGCGGTTCGGGCGCGGAGCGAGGGCGGGGCGGGGCAGCGGGTTGACCTGCAGCGGGCGCGATGGGAATGGTGATTATGCACCCAGAAAATGGTATCCTTAAATCAAGGAATTTCCTTTTTAAAAAATCAAGGTAATTTTCCACTTTGAATAGTGTTACAAAAAAATATACAGTACAGTGCGTGTATGATGGGACACCCTGTAAATATTCAAGTGGAATCCGTTAAAATTTTTAAGGGTGCAACATGGTGGAAGTGTTTGGCAATTGACTACAACTGACAGTTTGTGGAGGGAGGGGAGTGGCTGCTCGCCCGTATGCTCGCCTGCCTTCCAGGATGCTTCCGGGAGATTTGGGCGCGACCGCGAGGAACACGGAGGGGAAGGATGAGGGTGGTTTCAAGAGGGTTTAGTAAATGTGACGCGGAGTGCGGGAAGATTGGTGTGAAAGAGGGAGGGAGGAGGGGACCGCGGGAATAGAGTGAGAAACTTGTTCCTAGTTACTTGATCGCATGCGCCGCGCAAAGTTTGCCCCAAATCCTACTTCCATCTGAAATGGGACGGGTGTTAAGAGGACCAAGTCGTTAGGAGATCTAGATCTGTGCGGTCTGGGTGGATGAAGATGAGCAGTGGTGCGGGTAGGGGTGACCTGGTGCACCGCGGAGCTCACAGCCAGGGACGGTCTGTTGCAGCTCTGGTGGTCCGCTTCATCACCAGGAGGTTCATCGGCGAGTACGACCCCAACCTGGAGAAGGTGTACAACTTCCACACCATCATGGACAACGAAATGGTCTTCTTCGAGATTCTCGACACCGCAGCGCAACCCCACGTATGGAAGTCCTTGCGTGTTTGCTATCCAGCTTGGCCCTGGCCGCCTCGCCTGATAGGCTCGCCTGATAGGCCTGCCCGCACCTTGTCGCCTTGCGCCGAATGCCCTGCGGCCCGCTACGCGCCGCCACGCCTTTCTGCTTAGCCTTACCTTGTTAGCCTCTCACCAGTCGCCCGTCTTGCTGTCTTGCTCCAGGAGAGCGAGTGCCTGACGCTGGAGGCGAACATCCGGTGGGCGGAGGCCTTCATCCTCATGTACTCCGTGACGGACAAGTGCTCGTTCGACGAGTGCAACCGCCTCAAGTTCCTCATCAACTACAACAAGAGGAAACGTCGGCTGGGCTCCAACAGCTCCAAGGTTTGTTATGCAATCCCCCCCACCCCCCACCCCGAGGATGTCAGTAGGACTTCCCCATGAGCTCTTCTGTGTGTTGCAGGAATCGCTGTCGGACGTGCCGGTAGTCCTCGTCGGGAACAAGATCGACCAGTGGGGCGACCGAATGGTCTCCCCCGAGGACGGGCAGCGGAGGAGCAAGGAGATCGGCTGCGTCTGCTTCCACGAAATCTCTGTGCGCGAGGACTTCGAGCAGGCAAGTTAGGGGGGGGGGGGGGGCGTGGAGCACCCTACTTTCGCATCATGATACGCCTGGACCCCCTGAGTGACTCACATCACCCCGCCCCACCTAAGGTGTAATAGAGATTACACCTTAGCCCCACCTCCCTAGATCAGCTGTGGCAGCTTCCAGGGCCCGAACATAAAGACGGGTTCGATTCGAGGCCCCGGAGACCTCGACACGGCCACCTTCTCCTCTAGCCACCCCACTTATTTTCTTTCTCCTATTCCCAATTCGGGACCAACACAGCATACGCAGTGAAGAAATCTTCAGAAAAAAAAGGCTCAGCACTTAAAGGGAAAAAAAATTAATTCAACCCAACAGGGTATTCTGATCATTTTGATTTAATTTTTGGCAGATGTAGCCATACAGGCAGAATAGCTGACATTAAACACCAAACCTATCTAAGCTTACATCTGCTTGATGTTTGTACAGGTTTGGTCGGTGTTTCGAGACGTGTGCCACTTTTGGAAAGTGCACAACAAGTGCCCGAAGTTGAAGCGATCTTCCAGTGACTCCCGCTCCGAGCCCCTAGTCAGTCCCGAATCATCCGGAATACGTTCCCTTTGTGGTTCTATGAACGGAAGTTCCACAGCTCTCATAAACAGCCGGTCTAATATTTCTGCACCGTTCAGCACAATAGGTATGTATGAAGCAAACACAGGTGTGATCATTTTGAAAACTTTAATTGAGGTATAGGAAATATAATTTACGGGAGATAAGAGCAAATGCAGAATACCAAGACGGTTCACTAGGAGCAAAAAAACAAAAAAGAAAAAAAGAACATTGAACTTATTTAAAAATATGAATAGACAAACACATAAAACTATCATGACAATTGGGGGCAGATATTCTGCATTTACAATCTACATGAAGATCACAGATATGTTCCAAATGTAGGGTGTCCTCATGATGTTATATAAATAAAGGTTGATGTGTTTCAAGCAAAAAGTAATACATTTGAATGGATAGAAAGAAACTTTTCTTTCTTTGAAATTGGACAATGAAAAGTCACCTGAGCCTTTCACAATTTGGACTGCATCACTCAGAATTAAACAATTTGTTGAAAAGGTAACAAGAGGAGCAGTAAACAGAAACACTAATGTACAAAAAGGTTGAAATTGTCATTAGGTAAAATCTTATAAGATAACTCAATGAAAAATTAAAAGTTTGTAACATAAGTAAATAGAACTTCTAAAAAAAAGGAAATAAATTTACAAATGCAGATAATGTCAAAAGTAATTATTGCAATAACTACTTAGACATAATTTTACATAAGTCTTCTAGTCCACAATATTTACATCGAAACATGATAAAAAGTACACCAGATAGAACCGATAGACATTTCACCTATAGCTGAATAGTGCCCAGTTGAAAAGTTACTAGGGGAGAAATAATAATAAGTACCTCATCACAAAATATTTCACCCTACTTGTTTGTACACTTCAGATCTACACTAACATATGCCAGCACCACCTTGTAGTGCTTTATACCACATATTTCATGTAGGAGGTGGTTTGACAACTTTTCAATTCAAGACATCTATAGAAAATCTCAAACTATAAGTAGACAACATAAATTAAATGTAAGTAATTATAAATTTTTATATACAAAACTATAAGTCAGGCTTGAATAATATCAATTTTAAAGTACGTCCAACAAAGAAAGAGGTATTTGCGCAATACATTTGATCTCTAAAGGAATATCTTGTGAAACTGTTTCATAGTTAATTTTTTCCGACAAGTTGGACACTTTTTATGTATCCTAACAGCAGAACGGATGCAATTACCACAGAATACATGTCCACAGGTTGTAGACATTATTTCATTAACTGCTGTTTTTGACTCCAGACATATTGGACAGCTCCATCCTTCAGGTGTTGGTGGTCTTTCTGGTGGTGTTGGAATTACTCGCGAATCATTTCCAAGCAAGCCATCAGTGCTCGGAGGCCCACAAATGTTGGCCAGTAGATTCATGGTCACATCCCAATTTTCTAAGTCAACACTAAGATCCGGCCAAGTTTCAGAGTCCTGCCCTAGGGATACAGCATGAGTAGGAAGAGGTACTGGTGGACATAGTGGTGCTGTAGACAAGGAAGGAAATACAGAAGTCGACTGAGAAAAGTAGGGGAAGCTAGAATGAACTGGAGCAGCTGAAGTGTTAAGTACAACCACATCAGGTCTAATATGCTTGGCTGTAACTTCTGGCTCTGTTGCCTGAGCTTTCACTTCTGCTTGTATCACACCTTCACAAACAATATCATCATCATCTTCTGAAGAGGAGAGTACTATACATTCTCCAGAAGGAACAGCACTGATGGTAACTTCTGACACGACAGTGGTTGAAGCAGGAGTTACTTCCTCGGAGTCTGATAATTCAATAATAGGAACATCTAGACCAATTGTACCACGGGCTCTTGATTTAGACAATATGCTACGTGTATGCTGAACTCTCCTTCTGCCATGTCTTCCACGTTTATGACGGTTGTCATTACATGTTCCACCTGCACATTCTTGACAAGGTTCGGAGACATTCTCACTCCAGTCACCCTTTCCTATAGTGCACTTTCCTGAACCTTGAGTAGGACCCTTAATGGGTAGTTCAGACCACTTTTTCTTGGGACATTTACACCTTTTCACTCTGCCATATCGTTTAGCCTGTTCAATGAGTGCTTTTATTTGTTCAGGTGTCAAATTAGCATAGTCTATGTCTGACTTTTCATCCTCACTACAACTGCTGCTGCTAATTATTTCAACAGGTTTTTCTCTTTTACGCTTCTTGAACGGAAGTGGAATGTTGATTGATGGCAAATCATCTTCAGAATCTGAGCTCAGTGAATGGAGGCCTGTGCGTGATGTCCCTGAGCAACTTGGTTCACTTGGACTACCATCTTTTGAACTTGATGACTCAGCACATGACTTCCTTGAAATACCATCAAAGTTAATTTCATCTTCTGATAATAATTCAAGTTTAGAAACACAAGGTTCAGGGGGAATTTCACATTCAGCAACATCTTCAATCTCTGTTTTAACTTCTGTGTCAACTTTTAACACACTCTCCACATGTTCTAAAGGCACAAAGTCAGAAAACTCAGAAAATGGATTGGTGCCACGATTTTTAATAATTTTAGCCAACTCAGAGTTGTCACTGACAGGCTTCTCTGTCAAACTGTCAATATCTCTCACACTGACTGTTTCCACTACGCCACCATCATTCAAACAAATATCTCCAGAGGAGTTACTTAAAGTTAAAGGAGGCGGGAGGTCAAACTCAGAGTTGTCTCTGACAGGCTTCTCTGTCAAACTGTCAATATCTCTCACACTGACTGTTTCCTCTACCTCAACATCATTCAAACAAATATCTCCAGATGAGATACTTGAATTAAAAGGAGGCAAGAAGTCACCAGTTCTATGGCTGAAAGGAGCCTCATCAACTTCCATATTGCTACTGCAGGAGGCAGATTGAATGTTCTTCTCAGAACTAACTGATATTTCATTATAGCTGAAGTTTTCACAGTTACTGAGGAGGGAAGAATTATGTTCTCCGTCTGGTTCTGCTGAAATTTCACAAGTAGAGGTGTCCATTCTGCTGAACACCTGTAAGAGAAAAACAAACAAACAAATGAATTAATTCATATTTTTTGCTTTCATGCCAGGTCGAAGATGGACCGAAGTCGAACTAGATGAAGAGGATGAATCTGAAGAGGGTGTCACAGAGCGCAAAAGTAGTGCAGGAGATAGTGAAGTATCTATGGAATCATCGTTGCCACCTTTCCGAGCAAGAGCATCCACTGACGGCCACTTGTTGTCAAGACCTCGTCGCTGGCGTTACCCACCACCCTCTCTGTCTAGTCAAACATATCATGGAGGAAGTAGTAGCAGCAGTAGTGGAGGGAGTTGTGCTGATAGGAGAATGAGCATTTCAATGCGGGGTAACAATGCAAGTTACTAGGAGGGAAAGCCGTAAAGACTGAATTATCTGAATAGCTTTTTTTTAAGTTTACTTCCTCACTGAATTTTTTCATTCCTAGAATGATTTACTTGGAAGAGGCTATCATGATGTAAATCCCAAACTCTCTTACTCGAGACATATGGCTTGAAATGCTGTATACACTGATACTGGTCAGAAATCAGAAGTAAAATATGTATTCAAAAACTTCTAAAGCTTGGACCAAGAAAAGAGAGCAGTGATGTAAAATCTTGGTGGGCCTGGGACCAAGTTTTTGGCCTAAACATGAGACAAAAGATACAAATAAATTTCCTTGTTTTCAAAGGCCTAATACGATAGATGGATACATAAACGACAAGATATATTATTAATCATTCACTGTACCCAAAGATGCATTGGCCATCAATTAAGTATTTCTTCAACTGGTTAAATGAATGTAAGTAGGATTTGGGCTACACAGAAAATTGTAACTAATTCATTAACTGTGTTATTATTTTCCATCTACTTTGCGTAATTCAACCTAGACGCTTGTTCAGAATTTTAAAAATAAGAATAGTTTTAAAAATCTACATTTGTCTATAAATTATTGTGTGAACTTTAAAAAACATTATCTAAGTAGACCAGGTTTCCCTGGTACTTGCTGAGCCAGAATGCCAGACACATCCATCATGGGCATGACCCATGCATATTAAGGTTTATAACTTTTAATCTAACTCAAATTGCTTACTCCTAAGAAGGATTAAGCTATCTCATGGGATAAATTGGGCTCTGGTGATTTGGCTAACAAGAAATATGTAATGGATGAGCATATACCTCATGTTTATTATCTACATAAGCCAGAAGTAAGATACTTTAGGAAAACCAGGACTGTAAAATGCAAAGTTAAATGCCAAATAAAACCAAAGATAAAAATTTACAGCTGTCTCAAATGGAAGAGATTTGCATACACCCCTTAACACCATGCAAAAAGTGTGTGAAATGTTGCAAATAATTTCTTGTCTTAAGTATTGCACCACTATAGAGGAACCAAACCTACAAGGTGATTAGTTGCCATATGACCCTCTTCCTCAGCCATCATAAGTTATGCCCCACCCCCACCCCAAAAACCACACATCAAGAATTCAAACATTAACCCAAGGTTATGAATAGGCCAAACAAAACAGAAACATTTCTCTCACACACTAGATAATTTCCATTGCAAAACATAAGAAAATTATAAAGAATGACCATAGGTGGTGGCAACCCTATCTGCCTAGCTTTATCAAAGGAGAAAAAAATGACACTGATGCTGTTCGATTAGTCCCCCGCACTATGGGCAAATAAGAAGTAACCAAAAGCGACAGAAAAGTAAATTGAGTGAGATAAAACAAACATTCAGATAGTCGAATTTAAAAAAGTAAACTTTCATAATAAATTGTCACGCTACGCCCTTCCAGGTTATAAGAATCGATTGGGGACAAGACTTGACCGTGCTAAGTAATTAGATAACGGTAAAGTCCGAATTAACGATATTCATGAAGAATGGGTGGTATTTTATGAATACTTACAATGTCACCAGCGAAAACACATATGCAAGATCGCGTTGGGAAATATGGGCGAAGTCGACTGTAACCAAACAGCGGATATGCACATAAGAATAAGAAAACAGTGTAACGACTTTTCCTTGCAAGTCGAATAACAAAGGTGCTAGAGACTTACCGTTCACAATACGGGGAACGGAGGTTGTGGTGAAACTCGTCAAATCACCCAGTCACAAGTCTAGACAAGCTCATGTCTTTTTCCCTTTACATGTCAACAAGATCGGGATCGGAGGGAGAGGAAAAGGAAAATGAAAATAACCAGCTACAGCAATACATGTCAAAACGAACTCAAGATGTCGCTAGAGGAGGTGGTGTTTCAGAAATGAGCATAGTAAGAGGCTAGTTTTTAGAGAACAGGAAATATGAAAAAAGTACCCATCGATGAGGAATTTACACGTACACCAAAGGGCCAGAGGGAAGTTGCAAAGTATGAAATATTTGAAAATTCGATGGGATTTAAGTGTAAAGTAATAATGCAAGTGTAATTCAGCGTGTCATGTTTTTATCATAAATATTAGTTCAAATAATACACAAAAGAAAACACCAAAATGAAACAAAGAGATCATTACTCTTTCAAGCGCTTTTCAGTTGGCATAATATGATAATTTGTACATTATGTTTCAAATAACCACAGTCTAAAACTGAAAAATCTGATGATGAGGTATGATATGCCTACAATTAGCTGTTGAATATGTTTCCTTTCAGCACTGTGACAGAGATACATAATGGAGTATGGATGCCATACTACATTTATTATTTTATAACAATAATAAATATGACAGTAATGAGAAAAATGACACTGACGATAACACAAAGACAGTATAGAACGCAGGATCAAGAGCAAAAAAGAAAAAGGAAAAATAAAAAAAGAGAGAGAGAGAGAGAGAGAAAGAGAAGGTTACTAAAATCTTTCAGTAACATATTATTGCTTTCACTATCGCACAGACTTTTAATTCACATTCTGCACATTTGATCATCAAATCTTAACCATCTGAAGTGGTTTCTAGAAAAGCTGCTCAAAAGAAGGCAGACAAAGTATGGAACTGGTTGTCATTTTCACACTAGTGTAAACACAAATCTGATAAACCAAGATTTTAATTTCAAAAAATATATTTTACACGAGTACCCTGGTGCCAGGTGCCCAAAAATCTGCAGTTGAACAACACTCTAAATTGAAAATTATTAGTGAATTAATTTTAGTACACTGTGTCCTTAATCACAAGGATCAGTCTCCTTTCAACATGAGTATCCAGGCACCTTGAGACACTTCTTATGAACAAGTTTATACAGTTACAGTAATTACTAACAAAGCAAATACTAAATTGTAAGTTCTTTTACACAAAATTTTAGGTATAAGGCCAAGAAATGAGAATTTAACACATTATTGCATAACACTGGGTTATGATACTTTTATTGTGAGCTTAAAGATCAGTTACTTGCCTCCTTCAGAATATCTTCAAAAGTTTTTACCCTCCTTCAAGCAAAGATAAACCAATGGAAACTCTTTGCAGGCTGGTGAAGCATTAGGAGATTATTCGTCCTCTCCAATTTCCCTTTCGTTGTCATGAAATTGAAACATCACCATAGAAATACTTAAACAGACCAAGAGTAGACACAATTATGAATGAAATATATTATTTGATCCGATGGGCGATTGAGCCAGTTAGGAATAACGGATGCAAAGGCAGAGACCGAAAGTATTTACAAGTGATCAGAAGGATTTGATTCCATTTCTCAACCAAAAAGCAGCAACCAAGCCAAAGAGAAACAATAGAACGAAAAACAAAGGAGAGAAGGAAAGAAAGAGAGAAACTGATCCCAGCTCTCAACAGTACTAAGAAAAAAGGAAGGGGTTTGACAAATTTTGAGTATCAAAAGTCTTCCACAATTTCAAGTTGTCTGTACATCATACAGGGTACAAGAACACATTTTCATGGTTCCCAGAAAACAAATGTTTGGTCAACACCATTTGAGTAAATTGCAATTCAGAACCATACCCAAAAGCTGCAGTAGCTGTAGATCAGCCAGTGGGTGTGCATACAAACCCTGGGAGCAAACAATTATATCACAGAAGTATTTATTGTGCATATTAAAATTACTAATATGTAGGCCAAATTTAAATAGATAAGATTTAAAAATAAGTAGTTGACACATTAACATCTGTTGGAGTGAAACAGACTGCAGTTGCAATTCATAGGAAGAGATCTCATTATGTCAATATTAACATTGCTCCTGACACAAAAATAAAACAAAAAAGAAAAACAAACAGAATACAACAGTAGTTGTCAAGTTTACTAGGTACTCTAGACCTAGAAAATGTATCCAGCCTGAGGAAAAGAAATTTTAAAATAAATACATAACATTTGGTGAGTTCAATTAAAAATCAAGATATGAGAGGGGATTCGCTGAACCCAGGAGAAACATCTTCTCAATGATATTGGGTGATACAAGAACAAATCAACAACAATAAAATAATTTGAGCGTTATTGCCAGTAATAAAGTAATACTATAAAGAACAATAAACTTAGAAGTAATGAACAAAGATATGAGCTCACTGAGAGGAGTGACAAGTGGATGATAAATGACAAATCAACAGACTTAAATAGAATAGGCATCCGATAAAATTAAGACGAGAACACAGGGTTCATGAAGCATTAAAATGTGAATGCTGAAATAAATTTCCTCTGCAGTTCTCTTCAGATAAATAACTTTCCACTCATAATATCTTAAGAACATTGTTTAAAATACCCTAATTATCAATATGAATAGAATAAAATAAAATACAATGAATATTCTCTTCTCATGTTTGCTGCTCTTAATAAATTTATTTGGCACTTAATCAGGAAATGATGGCAGTTCAAAGAGTGGACTAGAGATTCCTCTAGAGGTTACTTAGACATGTTTTAACACCTTGAATTATTGTCACATCAAATTTAATTACTATTGAGTATTATCAGAAATCTTCAGAAATATTATAGATTTATTAAGCTATACTCTCTTACAGGGTTCGTGACGGGTACCTATTTTTATTTTTCCTGACAAACAGACTGAAAATTTCTGATTATCCCTGACTTTCTAAAATGACATTGGAGCAAGTTGACACCAAAAAATAAAGCTACTTTGGCTCAGAAAGGTTTGAAAACACCACCATAGTTTGGTCAATTTCCTGAATCCCCAGCACAAACCCTGTAAAATATTAGGTGAGAAGGTAAAAAAGATGAAACAGCCATTCATCGTCTGGCCCAAAAGGCATAAGTCACAGATGCTGCCATGATCATTAGATGTACCCAACACAGAACACCAGTGGTTGTGGTTGATGCACCGACAGCCATGTGCATTGATCCTAGACTGACACAACTGCTATTGGAAATTTGTGGCTCGACAGGGAATGGAAGTTACATCAATTTCTTACACTTCTCCTGAATATCTTAAGGATATTATAAAAGTGATTAATCAATAATACTATTTCTGATCAATTTCTAATAACAATTAAACTTAATATTACAATAATGTTGGGGATACCTCTAGAATTTCCCAAGTTCAAACATAAGCTCAACCATGACAGTATGGAAAAGAAAAGTAAGTATGAGGAGATGAAATTCGTAACTCAAAACATCAAAAGTCAAGTTGTGAGTTTCTGAGTTCATCACCATCACCTTCAAGATCCAAAATGCAGAAAACAAAACAGTTCTGAAAACAAACCAAGAGGTAAGGTGAAGGCAGAGTTCGATTAAAACTAGCGATTTAAGTTTGGGTGGAAAATAGTTTTGTACTTCTAATGGACGGACTGCTCTATGCCACAGCAGCCCAGAGTCAGAGCTTAACACTAGGAGCTATGGCTTATATTAATTTTCACTCACATATTCTCATTCACAACAAATACCACACAAATATACAGACTCGCCAAAACACACACACACTCACACACAAGCTATACACAAATATTATGAATAAATGAGAAATAAATTTAAAAATTCAATTTCAAAAAGAGGTTGTTTTTCTTGTTTGAAGTTGTTTTGTTTTTTGTTCTGCAAAAAAATGCAGAACACACACCAAAACCAAAAATAAATTTCTGTCTTTCACTGGTCATAACAATAAAATGAGTTTTAAACAAAAGGTTTGGACAAATCATTACAAATTAGCAATCCTAAAAAAATATGCAAACTATCTGAAAAATGAGTCCTTCATACTAAACTATTTTGTAGTGGCTGCTAGCACAGAGTTTTCCAAGAGTTTTCTTCACTCTAAGGGATGTAAGCCTCACCCCAGGATGCGGGTGCCAACATTCCTGCATAACCTTTCCTAATATTTTTAAAACCTGAAATGTAAATATTGATTTTTACATTAATTTGTTAACTAAGATAAGATTAACTCCTTCTACTCATAATAAGACTAACTTACCTCTTCAGATTGCCAGCGCGCAGGTAGAGGAGGACGAATTTTTTTGAGGCACACCACATCTTTCATATCTTCAAAGGATGGATCGCTGGGAACACAATCCCAGTAAGGTAACTGATAATCATCGACAACTGTTTGTTTGTCCCCCGTGACAGTGCGGCGGCTAAGTTCCCAAAGAACCAAACCAAATGAATACATATCTGCCATCTTGAATGCATCAAATGATGATGTATCAAGTGATTCATCCAATACTTCTGGAGCCATATACCTCCGAGTACCAACTCTGGCATTTGGAGCAATATTGATTTCATCGCGTTCACTAAGGACAAGAAAGGCAACATAAAAATATATTTTAAAAATCAACAAAACTTACTAGATGGGAAAGATAGATTTTATTTAAAAAAAGAAAATACAAACCTCACATATCTCACAGCTAAGCCAAAGTCTGCAATGGCACACTGTCCATCGTTTTTAACAAGAATATTCTTACTTTTAATGTCTCTGTGAGATATGGCAGGTTTCCCTTTAGTGCCAAATATCTCGGTGTGTAAGTGAGTTAAGCCACTAGCGATAGAAAGAGCCATAGTCAGAAGCGATGATGAATCCAAAACATTTGTTTGTAAATAGTCATGTAATGAACCTCTTTCATGATAATCAGTAATCAGCAGCATTTGCGTCCATGTGCCAGTGCCCTTTATATCAGCAGCTATGAATCCTAAATTAGAAAGAAAATTAACATTGCATTAAAGTTCTGTGGACAACCGCAAGTAAATACACAATAAAGAACTTCTTTTAAAATTACATACCTAAAATATTTTCATGTCTCATGAGAACAGTCTGATAGATATTTGTCTCTCTAAACCAACTAGCTTCTTCAGTTGTAAAAAATACTTTGACAGCAACAGGCTCGCCCCTCCACGAAGCTAGCCATACTTCACCATATCTTCCTTTACCAACAGACTCAACCATTTGAAGCTGTTTGGCTATTGTTCGCTGAACCTGTAATTGGTAGTAAAATTTGTTACTTCATATTTTCCTTCATATTCATAAAAAACCTAAATTAAAAAAGTGTCTTTAAATATATGATATACCCACCAAAAGTGGAAGCCCAGATCCTGAACCAGAGCTTTGTTCCATAAGATCATGAAGTGTACCATGACTTGTAAGGTAAAGGTTACGACTACTATTCTGTATTAGTTTGTTTTTCCACTGAGCTTCCCGGCGTGTATACCTGAATCATTATTAAAGACAGATAATGTATTAGTTTAGATAGATAAATTTTATTAAAAGAGAAAGTAATTTGTGTCACTTACCAGATCCATAGACCAATAAACAATATTGCAAGTAATAGTAAACAGATGAACACTGACAAGAATAATGCAATGTATGGCATAGAATTGTCAGAAATGCCGTGGTCTGGAAGAGGTGTTGTAGTTCTTGTTCGAAATGGTTCAGGGTGTAAGTTATGATTGCACAAATCTTTATCATTGCAACAGGCTATTGATTTCTGAAGGTAGTGTGGCACTTGATTCCCTTTGCACTGAACAAAAGTAAGCACAAGAGTAGTACACAAGAAAAGTAAAAACTCACAAGCTGGTGAAGAAATTCACTAATTACCTGCATATGTCCTCTTTCATTAGAGGGCAAACATCCATAGGTAATTTCAATTTCTTTAACATTGTCAGAAGTGTCCACCTCATTCATTGCAACAAAACAATAGCTGTTTGGTGGTGCAATGCATGTTCCATTAGGCTCATGGTCTGGACAAGCGCCATCACAGTAGCAAATCAAAGCATTCCCTGGGAAGAAAAGGTCACATAGTGATGAGTAACATTAAAACTAAAAACTTTGAAACTTGGGACTGAAAATCATGAAAGACGTCAGAAGAGTAACTTAGACTGGATGAGGAGGGATGATGATGAGAGTCATGATTGTTGTGTAGGATGGCCCATCGGCGCCGTCATTTCTCCTATTTATACTGTATCGGATGCAGGCGTGCGGACGGATTGCATACTCGCACGGGGCCGTGAGGCGCCTCGCAGAACGACGATAGGCAAGCCCGCCCGCACGCCTGCATCCGGTAAAGTACAACAATAAAAAAAAAGGCGCCGATGGGCCACCCGGGTGGCCTGAACCAGGGCTCCGTCCGTAACTCATAACTCAATTGGCTTCAACGTTATTTTAAGCGTTAAAGCGATAAACTCGTCACTTTTATTGAAGCCCTCTTGAAATAAGTCATAAAATTGCCTGTTCCAAACTGTGTTTACGGTATGCCTGAATGGGGTGGGGTGGGGAGGCTGAGACCCGCTATCCATCCCTCGCTAATGCGCGGCGCACCCCCACACGCACGCCTTCGCAAGCGTCACGTGGCGACAGGTGGGGTACGTCAAATCGCACCCACCCACCCAACTGACCGGGTGTGGGGACCTGCTAATTTACTTGTGGGAAACTAATTTAGGATCGGGAAACATATTTTCTATCTCATCTATCATCTTCGAGCATTAAAACACTTATTTAACGTAATTTATGTTGTGTATGGAAAATTAGGAACCGAAACCAGTCGTGCCAATGACGGACGGTGGGAAATGCAGGTCCTCTCTTTCGCGTAGTTGTACCGTTTCAATGGGAAATAATTTTGTTTGAGGTCTGAATATGATCAAATGCGCTGTTTATCTGCTTTGCAATGTGCACTTTCAGCCAA